ACTCATCGCTCATGCGAAGTGCAGTGCTTTTCCGCCCGCGTGCGTGTTGTTGTTCCCCCCCGCGTGTGCGTTGTTGTTGTGGTGATGGCGGCATCCACATTCGGCATTACGGTCAGTATTCGTACGTATTCGTGCTTTCTCCCCATCGGTCCTTACCTGTCGGTCCCTGTGGTGTTTCCTTTGCTGTCGGTGCTACCGGTTTTGCTGGCGCTTGTGTTGCTGCATTGGAGGCGCGTTCCTGTCCGTTCTTGTCATCCTTCTCTGCAATAAAGGGCAAAAATGGGAATTACAAGGGTTAGTATGTACTTTTTGTGTTCTTGCAAGGACACAGGAATGAACGTTGTTCACATATCTGCATCTTGTTGCGCGTTGCTCTTTCCTATTTACGTCGCAATATTCCTTCGTTCTTTTCCCTTTTCTTTTTCCTTCTCGTCCCTTTACTTATCCGTTCTGCTATGTTCTAATCTGTCTAATTCTGCCCCAAGGTGCCCTGCCTTACCTAACTGCGCTTTCTTCACCTGTTCCCTTTTTTCTATGCTGTCCGCTGCCTGTTTCCCGATTTCCGTAAATAGTTCGTTGATTCCTTCCTTCAATTCATGGACTATCGGAGCAATCGGCAGCCCTTGCGTATCCTGTATAGTGCCATTCCCTAGGATTTCGTCTATGCTCCATGCGTCCTGCCAGCGCGTCGTGCACAGTGCATGTCCTTGTACTCTCGTTATTGCCTTTTTGAGTGTACTATTTTGCCCTAACCATTTCTTTACTTCCGCATTTAACTCAAGGTCCCTTATTTGTACATCCGAAGATATGTTTCTACCACATGTTCCCTTCTTTATTAAACCTGCCGGAAAACTTCCTGGCCCAGTGTCCATTTGTTCCATTGAGTACCATGCATAAAATATTCCCCACCTACTCCTGCACACGGATTCGTGTAATACTTGACTGAACATATGTACTATTGCACATAGCAAGTGCGCCCTTATTCTTTCACTGGTGTCATCTTCCCGCTGTCGAGTACTTTCTGTACTAGTCCACCCATTCATGAAAAATAAGGCCCCTACCATCAGTACGCATACAATTTTATCGCCCACCGTTTGTCCTACTCCGCGCACACCGGCGGGGTAGTTCTGGTGCTCCCATCCTTTGTTATCACAATTCGATGCATACAGTGTTATATCGTCGCGCTCCATGTAGTCCACAAATTCCGCCATGACCTCTTTAGTCTTGTTCCACACCATGTCCTACAATGTAAGAGAAACACAGGAAATATGTACATGCGCATGTGTGCTTGAATGCTATGTGCCCCGTTACGCGTCATTCTCTCGTGTACCAATAAAACCGTAGCACTGCACGCGCCGTGTTGCTGTTCTATGCATGTATGTGCCTACCTCATACTGGTCCTGATCCTCAATCCCGGCGGCGAGTACCCATTGCACCAATGCATTCGCCAAATCTACTGTTCCCATATTGTTACCATGCACTGAAATACAGGGTACCGCTCGAAATACCTATACATTACTATTATTCGTATTCTTTTTATATTACATGAATTCGCTGTTGCGTCCACTGGTAGTCGATAATGCTGCTCCTTTGTGTGTGCACGGCTGCGGGCCGTGCAATCAAATATTCCATAAAAAGATAAAAAATGAAGCACACAAACATAGAAGGAAGAATGTACAAAAACACAAAATGTGCATAGGAATTGCAAATACAGGGCACAGGGAAGAAACAGAAAAGAAAACAAAAGAACGAAAAAAAAAAGACAGACAAAAATAGAAAAAGGTACAGTACACTACCGTACACACGCAGCACCGTCATGAATATACACCCCCCCCTTTGTACACCGGTCTCCACTAAACGCCTGCACACACACTGTGTCTCTGTGTGCGTACACCTAAAAACGAACAAGAACATCAATTTCTTCTGCCGTTGTTGCCGCCGTGCCTGCCGCGGCTACGTCGTCGAATCGGTCTTATACTCAGCCACGTTTGCTCGGAGAGACAATCTCCCGCCTGCGTACGCGCGGACAATCCCGTTTACCCGGCCACAGTCGCTCGCAGAGACAATGTGTACCTTCTTACACTCGGCTACTTCGTCGAATCGGTCTTACACTCGGCTACAATGCGCTTTACCCGGCCGCGCTTGCTCGGAGAGACAATGGCGCCTCCTGCTTACACTCGGCTACTTCCTCGAACCCCTTCCTCGAAGCTTCTTACGCGTCCGCGTTGTTCGACGCGTTTGCTCGGAGAAACAATGTGTACCTGCTTACACTCGGCTACAATGCAGGTTACGCGGCCACGTGTGCTCGGTCACGCTGCTCGGACAGACAAGCTGTCCTTAGACTCGAATGCGTAGTCGCGTTCTATATGAGTTCTGCACTGTGCCCTTAGAATGCACGTGCGCATCTTTTAATAATGAATGTCCCATAAAGGAGAATTGTACCCCGTTCTATTATTCATTTAAATCTACATTTTATATGCATGTAACCGGTACGCACCTGTGGCTATGGTCATGTTAAAAGAAGTGGACTACATAACAACAAACAAAAAAAAACAAAAGCACAAGTAAGCAGAACAGAGCAGAACAAAAAAAGAGACGGTATAGAATAATGCAAACCCGAAATATATGATGTATATCACATAATGAAGTAAAAGTGGTCTACGGTCAGCATGCGTTATGTCGCATGCATATGCGCCGTCATACTAATGTCACAGTTGCAATAGGGCATCCACATATAACTCCTTCTCCTGCAAACTGCGTTCGACTTCGCACTGTTCTATGACTAATGCCAGGATCAGTATCCATATTTTAGCGGTTAACGGTGTGTTCATATGAGGTGGCTGATGCAGTTGCGTCCGTGGTATATCTCTCACTCTTAGCATGTGTTGTGCTGCCATTACTTTTTCCACTTCTACGTCTGTGTCCACTGCAGGTACTTCGCCTTTTCCCCGTACTGTTTCCTCCTCTACATTATGCAACAAATGCTTGAACCACGCCTCCTGCCTATCTACATTCTTTTGCCGATGTTGCTGTTCGACCCACTGTTTCCAGGCATCTGTTTTCATTTCCACACATGCAGTACTTCTGTGCTCACCGAGGGCACGCTGCCCGGATACTTCGTTTGCCGCAATGTGCTCGCGCAGATATTGTTTCCATTCCGCTTTTAATTGCAAAAACCACGGCTGCGTCGTGCACTCCCGCAAAAGGTGCTTGTTGCGGTCAATCCAAGGGATCCAGTGATTGTGATCGGGGGCCGAATTCGCATCCGCACGAAGTGGACAGAGGACGGAGTCATGTGGTGGACAACGGTCCGTGGCCAATTCTATAGTTTCCATACAACTCCATGGATCGGGGTTATCTTCGTTAGGTGGAGAACGGGCCGTTGCTAACTGTATGGTTTCCATACAACTCCATGGATCATCTTCGTTAGGTGGACATGGATCCGTTCCGTCGATGTCCGTGGGTGGATCGACGGTGGAGGAAACATTGTTCCGTGATAAATCCTGGTTTGTGATAGGAGCATCCGGGGAACTACTATGCCCGTGGGTGCCCCGAATAAACGCGTCAACGAGTATCTGCAAATAGTCGTCTTTGACGTTTTCCCACTCGGCCGCTTCACATTCGTTGAGCACTTCTAGATGTAGTTCGATGATCGTGCGCTTATGCACGCGGGGTGGGCGTTGTCCGCGGCGTTCGGCAGCAGACGCAGGTTGCCTATCCCTAATCATCGTGTGACCGTAATCGGGTGGCGGCTCGCCGCGTTGTAGGTGTTGCAATATTTCTTCGTCGAGTGGCGGTGACGGCACGTCACGAACGGTTCGATAGGTGCGTCGTCGTTTGTCGAGGTACGCAAAATACTAAGCACAAAAAGGGGGGTAAAGAGGAGGGTGGGCACGGTAGCATAAAAGGAATGAATACGGGTGTAGGAGTATATTGGTTCAAACGATCATGTATTGGAGCCGGTAGGGATGTTCTGAGGTATGAACATCCTGCACATGCGGGATTCCGTGATTGCCATATATACTTACTTTCCAGAGGAACAACGCAATGAGCCCAATACCAACAACCGCTGGAATGAGCGCGGGTACATATTTGATAAGGTCATCCCAATTCCATACGGGGACTTCAGGAATGGGGAGGATGCCAGGATCATCCGTCTGCCGTTTATCATCATTCTTCCCCGTGTCCAATGTTCCCGAGTCTTTGGCCTCAGTCCCAGAGACTGGTCCCGAGGAGGACCCTGTTCCCCCTGAGGGACGCGCAGGGCCCGGGGGAACCGTTTCCGGAGAAGCGGGGGTACGGACGCCCGGTACGCCGCCCAGTCCAGGGACACCAGGCACAATGCCTCCAGCACCTGGGACAGACCCGTTGGCTTCACCACTTATACCAGGGGTTCCTTCAGCTCCTCCTCCGCCGCCACCCCCAGCTCCAGCACTGGTTTGTCCTCCTGCACCCCCCTGAGTACCAGCAGAAGGTGCACTACCTGGTATCTGGGCGTCGCCGCTCGTGCCGCCACTACTACCCGATTGATCTGGGTTCGGATTCGGTTTAGGTTTGGTTGGATTGAGAGGAGGGGGGTCATCATTGCCGCCGTCGGCGCCGGCACGTCCACCACTGTTACCGGCTTCTCCGTTTTCACCTGTTGGACCGGAAGGACCGGGTGCACCGTGCGCATTCGTAGAAGAAGGAAACGATGGAGTCGTCTGAACATTGTCCTTCTCAGTGTTTGCAGCAGTGGAAGGAGCAGCCGGTGGTCCCCCTGCTGCCGCAGGTGATGATGATGGGGTTGCTTCTGGTTGTGCAGCTTGACCTGGTGCTGGTGCGGCCGCCGGTACCGTCTGCTCGGTGGACTCTGTAGTCGTAGGGTCACTGATACCTGTAAATTGAAGGAGCGAACAGAACATAGAAGGAAACGGAAGTGTTTCTGGGATGCATGGTGGCCGATGGTGAGTCCTGCGGTCAGCGGACCACGGTCGGGTAACTGCGGTTGTCCGTCCTTTCACGACATCACCGTCGCTGGATGGTTGTCCACACGGTCAGTCGGTCAGCTACACGGTCGGCACCTTGGGTGCCACGGGGACGGCGGCAAGCGTTGGGGAGACGGTGGTAGGAGACGGACGGTGGGGCATGGCACGGAGGGTAGGGTGCCACCCCGGGGAAAAGACTCTCTCTTTTTGCCACACAACACACAACACACACACACAGTGTGTGTGTGTCTGTCTGCATCTGTGTCGACGTTTACATGCCGCGGCCGGGCCGTCGATCTGCGCATCGCATTCTCATTGGACGGTTGGTTTCTGTCGCTCCGTGTTGTCTCTCTCCCTCTCTCTGCGGGAGCTGTTGTTTTTTTTTGTTTTTTGCTTTTTTTTTGTACAGTGGACCACGTAAAGTACTCTCCCGTAGTGATCAGCGCAGGTTGGTGGAGGATTGCACTGTCCTGCGTGGAACTCAGTCCAAATGCAGTGCCTGGAGCGCACGCGGGTGCTCTTGTGCCTGTATTACCATTGCCGGGGCACTTCTTAGGGGTCTGCGGGGTAACAATAACCATAGTAACACTGCCGTGGCCGCCAAGGCTATAGTCAATAGGATCGGCCTGTACTTGTGGCTTCGAGCCCAGTATGCTTGATCCATCCGTGTTCTCATTGCAAGGTACTCCTTCCTTACCTGTCTCAGGTGTCGTGGTTCCAGTGCCTTTGTCAGGTGCCTGGGCGCCTGTATTGCTCGTACTTGTGTTATGCGTTTGTGGTGGTGGAGGTGGGGGTTGTTGTCCAGGTCCTGGTCCTTGGCCCCCTACTTCCCCTGGTTGCCCTGCGGGTTCTGCCTGGGGTGAGACGGGTGCTGGTGATGGCTGCGGTGGGTCCCCAGCTTCCTCTGATCTGCCTGCGGGTGCTGCTTCTACCGGTGTTGTGGTTGCTGGTTTGGTAGCCGCCGGCTTGGCCGCTGGTGGTGTGGGTGCGTCCGGCTTCGTTGCTGCAATGAGGACAACGGAAGAAAGGTGGTCGAAAGATGATAAAAAAAAAAAGGACACAAGTGGTACAGAAAGAAGGGGCGAGTCGGCGTTAGAGAGACGGCACGGTTCGATCAGGTAGTGGCCGGGTAGGTCGGCTGCATGGATCGAGGTGGACTCGGTGGACTGCGATGGACTGGGTCAGGCGGCAGCAAGCGTACGGTGAGGTGCACGGCGTACTCGGTCGACTGAGTCGTGGTGGATGGTAGCAGTACACTTTTATGTTGTCGCCGTCATCTCGTCGCCGCGACCGCAGTCCGGTCCCTTGCCGCTACCACTCCCGTCGTGGCCGCTGCACTCGGCAATTCTACGTTGAGCGCTCAACCGAAGTCGGGCAGCGAAGAGGGTTCTGTTGCGCACCGCTGTTCCCCCGTGCGTTGTTATTTGCCCCGCGTGCGTTGTTGTGTTGTGGCGGCATCCACATTCGGCAGTACGGTCGGTATTCGTGTACGGACGTATCGTTGCCGGCCGTATTGGGCCATATTCGTTCGTCCTCCCACTTGTCCTTACCTTGCGATGCCTCTGATCGTGTTTTCCCCGCCGTTTTGGCGGCCGCTGCTTGTGCAGCGGCATTCTTCGCGATTACCGGCTTTAATTTCTCCTCCACGTCTGCGATTTTCCCCTTCATGTGTTGCTCTATCTCGGCATCCTTTTCTTTTTCTGCCTCTTCCACAGCAGGGTACTGGGGTGCTGGGTCAGTGGACCCCCTCAATTGGTCCTCCTCCTTCTCCATTTCTTTCTTCACGTCTCCCAAAATGTCTTTTACGTCCTGCCTTATTTCATGTTTCGTGTGGTTGTCTTTGTCCTTTTGCTGTTCCTCCTTTCCCGTTCCGACCTCTAGCTTTACCTGTGCTCCCTTACAGCCATCGCTTATTTGTTCCTTCTCAAGTTTGTCCTGCATCTGTTTGTTCTCTTGTAACCATCTCTTCATCTGATTCCTCATGGGCCAGTACCCTAATTTGATATCCTTATACTTACCGCGCTTACAATTGTTTTCCCCCAATTGTGTTTTTAACTCATCCCAAATTATTTGTGTTGTGTACCATGCATAGTATGTACCCCAGTGACCTTCGCATCCATAAATCCATAGTATCTCTTGGTATATATCCACTATTGTACACCATATTAAGCCCTTAATTTCTCTATCGTTCTTGGAGTTCCCCTCTATGTTAGCCTTTACTGCACTACTCCACGCGTTCGCAAAGTATATCGCTTGCGTCATTAGTCTGCATATAACTCTTTCTTTGCTTCGATCCATCCGCCTTGGTGACTGCCCGCTTGTCCCATCTTCTGTTGGATGCTCCCAGTATGCATTACCGCAGTTAATAGCATTGTCGTACTCACTGTCATCGTTCATATGCTGAATAAAAATCTGCAGTTGTCTTTGCATATCGTCCCATAACTTACTCTGCGATTAACACAATGCACATATAGCTATGTGGTCGCACACTATTATTCACCAACCGTTTCAATCATCTAATTATATGTGCCCGTTCCTGGCTGTTACATGTAAATGTGCCGTATGCGGTACATATGAAGCACGCACATGTCCGACATGCTGCTGCGCTGTAGTATGCTGCTGTTGTACACACATATATACTGCCGTGTTCACACAGCCGCACTCGGCCTGTATGTATAGGAAATTACCTGAAAATCCCCAGTATCCATCGTGAGGTGCCTAGCGCTCGCATACTTCGCCAATATACTCGCTAACTGTCCCGCCATTCTTGTCCTAGCATAACAACATAGAAAAGATCATGCCTTGCAGAATGCGTATATCGTTCTGCATATCTTTCGCTACTGCATTACTAACAATGTCTACGTATCCAATGTAATCCTGTAGAGTCACAACACATGAAAATTCGTCCTAAGGGAACTCCAGCGTGCACGGTAAGAGACGGGGGTATGTAGCACAAAAAGCATATAATCTCTGGCTACATGTACACTCGTTATTCTTATATTAAGAATAAGGAACACTAAAAACAAAAATAATCAATACGTGTAACAAGAAAAAGACAAATAAGACAGTAATAAAATAAATAAAAAAAAACAAAAAAACAAGGAGCGAAACAACAAAAACTAGAGTAAACAACAAAGGAAAACAAAAGAACGAAAAAAAAAAGACACACAAAAATAGAAAAAAGTACTACTACACTACCGTACACACACAACGCGTCATGAATACCACCCCTTGCCCCTTGTCTACACCGGTCTCCACGAAACGCCTGTCACGCACACTGTGTCTCTCTGTGCGTACACCTAAAACTCCGCAGTAGAGCAACAACATCAATTTGTTCTGCCGTCGTTGCCGCGTACTTGAACCGCTGACTCGGCCGCGTTTGCTCGGAGAGACCAGCGCGTCCGTCGTACACGCGTGGCGTCGTCGAATCGTGGTTACCATCGGCCGCGTTGCTCGACGAGTTTGCTCAGAGAGACAATGTCTCCCTCCGTTCTCTTCACTCGGCTACTTCTTCGAATATTTCTTACCCTCGGCCACTTCGTCGAATCCGTCGTACACTCGGCTACGTCGTCGAATACGTTCACTCGGTGGCAATCCCGTTTACCCGTCCGCGTTTGCTCGGCGAGACAATGTCTCCCTCCTTTCTTACACTCGGACAATCCTGCGTCGACAATCCCCTTTATTGGGCCACGTTTGCTCGCAGAGACAATCTCTCCCTCCTTTCTTACACTCGGCTACGTCGTCGAACACGTGTACGCGCCCGCGTTGGTCGACGCGTTTGCTGGGAGAGACAATGTCTCCCTCCGTTCTTACACTCGGACAATCCTTCGTCGAATCGTGGTTACAATCGGCCGCGTTGGTCGACGCGTTTGCTCGCAGAGACAATCTCCTCCTTCTTACACTCGGTCACGTGTGCTCGGCTACTTCGTAGAATCGTTGTTACACTCGGCCGCGTTGCTCTACGCGTTTGCTCGGAAAGACAATCCCTCCCTCCTTTCTTACACTCGGCTAATTCGTCGAATCCGTTGTACACTTGGCCGCGTTTGCGCGGAGACAATGCTTACTAGGACGCGGCAACAACGGTAGCAACGACGGCAGAAGAAATTGATGTTGTTGTTATACTGCGGTTTAGCCTACACCGGTGTAGACAGACGTATTCATGACGCGTTGTGTGTGTAGGGTAGTGTAGTGTTTATATTTTTTCCTTGCTTTTTCTTTTTTTTTTTTCTTTCTCTTTTTCTTATACTATGCTTTTATTTTTTCTTTTTTTTGCATATAGTTCTCCCTTAGCGCAACCATAAATAGAATAGGGGAGCACTCTAGTGAGCACAAGTACCTATGGTATCAGCAGTGCGCGTAAATATTGTTGTAGACATGCAGGAACAATAATTATTTAGCAAAATATGAACATATTAAGACACAGAATGTTATAAGCGTTACCATTGAATATATGCAGAATAGTAATATTTCAAAGGGTCTGGACAAAGTAGAAAAAACTAATAGAATAATACTATTATGTCCGGAAGGCACCTAGCCCAGGTGTTGGCCGAATACGTGCGGGCGCGGGGTGCACACATGGGCCAGAAGGGTTATGTGGTAACCAAGAGTGACTGGCACGATATTAAACGCAATGCATATTAATTTTCTTATGTATAAGGGGGAGGCAGTTTATGGAGAGCAGCTACGTTCCATATGTGAATGAGTATGGACGGTGCCCGCTGTTATGATAGTGCGGGCACGCCTAGTGCATAGGAATGTATTCAGAGGTGGATTCAGTGTACAGGAGGCCGCGCAAGTTGTAAACTATACATACATATAGATGTGATATATTAATTGCAGGACAAACTGTGGGAAGATATAGAAACGGAGTTACAAGCATTTATAGAGCATATAACACAAACGGATACGGAAGGTTGGGATGCGAACTGTGAGAATGCGTATTATAACCACGAGAGCAATCCTGATGGTAGACCGCGAAAGGTAGAATACGCGAGAGACAGAATTATGTGCAGACTAATGGTAGGAGCATTATATTTTATGAATGAGAAAAGTTGGCATATGTCGGGACGGAGTATGGGGGTCAGTAATGATGATGAAATGAAGGAATATGTGAGATGTGCCATTGTCAATATGTATATGGAAATACTGAAGGAATCATCATGTGGTGGAGAATGGGGTTTATGGTATGCCTGGTACACCATGAAACAGATGGAAAAAGGGCTACAGGGTGGTTTAATAACCAAAGGTAAATGTGGGCATGCAGTGTTTCAAAACATACAAACAAAGGAATTCGACATGGCACACAAGATTCAGGCATGGTTAAAGAAAAACAAAGGCGTGACTGACAAAATTGCACGGCCCGAAATACAAAGCATATGTAACAAAAAATTAGAAGAACTTGGGGCGGCCACAGCGGGTACACATGCCATGGATGAAAAAATACAACTGCAGCCACAGGAGAAAACACTGATACAGACACTAGGCCAAGAACTGAAGACCATAGTTGAGCAGGTAAAGACAGAGGTACTGCAATGGGCGCGGGAACATGGAGCATCCATAGACCCAAGCGAAGAGGACCCCAGTAGAGGTCCTGCGAATGATGATACTGTGGCAAAAGCACCAAACTCTGTAAAGAGCGATAAACCAGCAGAATCCGGCAAAGTACACGGCACAGAATCCCAAAAACCCGCAGCTACTGAGCCGGCTGGAGCATCACCGGGACAGGCAGGTAAGGACCGATGGGGAGAAAGCACCAACACGGCCACATACAGATAATAAGACCCGCTACGTACCGTATTGCTCAATATGGATGCCACCACAACAACACACGCGCAACGGCCACAACACCCACAACGGCGGAACAGCGCAGCAAACGACTTCGCTGCCTCACTTCGTATGCCCCACTTCGGTTGAGCGACGAACGTACCGTGCAGCGGCCACGAGTGTAGACGACGGCAGTGGTAGCGTCGGTCACTGTGTAGACGAGGTCTGTGTGTGCGGTGGCGGAGTCACAGTGGTGTGACAGTGGTGCGTGGGATGGAGCGGCGGTTACGATGGCAGCGAAGCGTGGCGACCATGAGTGGAGTGCACGGAATTTATGGATATAAAGGGATTATATGTGGATCGTCTATTACAGAAGTTTTAGAGAAGCTTTGCGGGAAGAGGCAAGGCTGGAAGGTGTTTATACGTTGTTGTCCTTCAGGGGGGCTGTCACTGTAGATGATGTTGTAGGTCGCCCTGCATCCCTATATCCGTTTATGCTATATACTACCTAGCACATGATGCTCTTATCGTGTATATAAGTATAGTGAGAAAAAGGGGGGATGTTAATTCAGAGCCAAAGTTGTGGAAGTGTTAAATAAAGAAAAATAAAAGAAACAAAGGAAGAATATTATATTATATGAAAACAGTTGTCACATGTTGCATCCATAGTAATCATCATGTAGTGTTTGTTACATGTAGGATATGAAATAATTGTTCCTTATATATGTGCAATATAGGGACACGTTTCCCCTTTTTTCTTCTAAAATGGTTTCCTCCTCCATAATATCAAAAAATACATGATCATATGAACAAACAATACAACATCAACACAAACTATGTATATTCATAAGAGCACAAACAACATTATAATGTACAACACGGAACTATATGATACATGCTACAAACGACAACATAAGCCACATCATAGGTGCGAACATGCAACATCATGACACACATCAATCTGATAGGTATGCAACAAAAATATATTATTGTTCACTATGCACTAAAACACGCAATAATCACGTCTTCTTCGATTCTTTATTTACTTCTGCTTCGTTTTTTTCCGTTTCTGTGGGAGCTTCCTCCTTCTCCTTCTTCTTCCAAATTTTATCCAATAAACATTTCCCTGTTTTAGAGCAGCAAAAACATATTAGCACGCAGCAATACACAATTACAATCAGTACGAAAGCTCCATACGTGCCCATCAACATCCACAAACCGAGTTGTGCTCCCTGCGACATTAACGACGTCTGCACGATGCTTTGTGCTGCGGGCGATATAAGGAATGTATACAGCACTGTGGCCACTACTATGAGCCCCAACCATACCCTTCTCCACATTTTACAACGTTTGCATTTCTTCAAACCCCTTCTACAACTATTCCCTGTAGTTCCATCGTGCACTGACTTCTTTTTGTGCTGTGGCTTGTTTACTTTGTCCCTGGACTGTAATTTTCTCCGCATGTTATCGAACATCGTGTTTGTCGCCGGACTACCCGTCGCACAACCTTCGTAGAATTTACGTTGACCCCGTTTCCCTACATCCGTTCCATCACTCAATGACACGGTGGTCGTTCCAACGGTAGTTCCATGTACCATGTCAAATTGGCTGGTGCCATTAGCCGAGGATGTACCTAGTGTGCTTGCCTAACGTAAATAGAAAGAAGGGGAATATATGGGATTGTTATGGAGTATAGAATGATATAGAACGTGAAAATAAATGGTAGGATGGTTTACAGTTGTGTTGCAGGAGTCAGCAGCTTAACACAATAAATGTGGTAAGTCACCAAAATACAGTTGTTCGTAGCATACACCGTCAGCAAATTGCCATAAGAAATGGACTAGTATAAATATAGAAAATTTCACAAGCAACATCATTCTGTTTTTTCTTTTCCGTTTAGAAAATGGTAGAAGTGGCGATATGTTGTTTATATGTATGAGTTATGGAACTATTATTCTGATCTTCCACATCCAGGTGTATAGATTAAGCGCGTAATATTTCTTCCTATTGGGCACTAGTAAATATTGATAGAATCAATTGTGTATGAGGTTTACTATTCTTACCTAAGTATGTACATATGATCTCAAGGAAGAATTCCTATGCACAATGCTACAAATACAACATGAGGAACGTGCGAAAGGAATGGATAAGAACCAGTTGTGGATACATGCTGTACGACGTAAAAGTTGACTAAAGGGGTCAAATATTTTTCACAAACCTAACACGGGCTCATGAGCGCTATGTCGCCGTGTTAACGGCGTAATAGGAGCAAATTGTATACACCGGATTATGGAATTCCGCAAGTGGCATAACACTTTACTATTTTTAAGCTAGGTATAATGGTGAGGAACATAGTAACAACAGAATAAATTAGACCCCTTTACAAATGGAAACGACGAAAATTTGTTTGCGATGTATAGCCGTGGGCTCAAAGTTTGCTCGCATCAGTGTTTTGGGGGGGTTTGTTATTGTCACGTATTCACATCATTATATATGTATCGTGGCCGCTTATTATTTATGGGAGTCGTCATTTATATTGTTCTCAGATTTATTACGCGCAGTGATAAATAATAAATGTGAACATATTGTTTGCAACGTTTTGTGTACGCATACCGCTCCTTTTGCTTTGACAAAATGCGAATTGATTAATTTAAGCGTGTGAGGCATATATAAATAACGGGTACATGTAGGGTGAAATTGTGGGCTGAGTGTTTCAGGTTTCCGGGATTGTAAGATTTCAGGAATGTGAGGTTCCGCAATCCGGAGTTATGATTCAGGATTTTCAGCTATCATGATTTGCGAGGTTCCGGAATCCGTATCTAGCATTCAGAGTTGTGGATTCAACCTTAAGGATTTAAGTTTCGCAGGTTAAGAAGTTTTAGGAGGCTTAAGGTTTTTAGGGCTTGTTTTTTTTTTTTTTTTTTTAAATTAATAAACCACTGACCAGTATGAGTATGGGAGTATGTGAATATTAGCGCAGTATTATGTATAAAACACTTATGTACGAAAGGATCTAATATGGTGTCGCACAAGCCCCATCTCAGTTGCCTCAATGGTACGTATGTCAGCATTCATGGACTTACGTCTCTAGTGGGTTTTTTTTCTTGTTTTCTTTTTTTCTTTTGTTTTCGTTGTCCTGTAGTCCAAATAGTGTAAAATTCAGGTGTTACAGCGTCCCCGCCTCCTTTTGTTTTGGTGGGGCGGACGACCATTGGACGCAACAGTGGAATGGCGAATGGCAATGGTTGTTGTTCCATTTTCCACTCGGTTATATTTGTGCGTTGTGTGTGAGCGTGTGGTGTTGCGCACTTACATTCCGTAGGAAAAAGGCAATGACCGCAATACCAACCACCGCTGGAATGATCGCGGGGGTGTACGGCTTAATATCTTCCCATGTGAGGCCGGGCGGAACGGAAGGGATGTCAGGGGTAACGGCTGCATCTGCACCACGTCCACCACTTCCACCAACGGCAGCACCGCCTCCTCCACCACTTGCACCTCCCTTTTGTTCCCCACCACCAACTCCATCCGCCAAATCAGCATCACTGAAACTGCCACTACTGCCCGATTGATCTGGGTTCGGTTTAGGTTTGGGTGGATTGAGAGGAGGGGGGTCATCGTTGCCGCCGTCAACGACGGCATCCTGAACACCGGTACTTCCTGGTTGATGATCCTCAACTTTTGTGTTTTCAGTATTTCTACTTTCCCCATCTGCAGCCTTCGTTTTGGAAGAATCACCAGCGCTATCTGTGCTTTTAGTGTCAGGTACCACTGCACTCTTTGTCGGCTCATTGCTTGCTTCTTCAGTTCCTAAATGGGTATCAGGGGGAAAAGGGAAAATGTAGAAAGTTTCGAACCTGATGTTTTTGTCGGTCGCTGATGGTTGGCTGACGACACTGTCCGTCGTTGGTTGGTTGCGTGACCATTGGGCAACGCGTGGTTGCGGTGCATCCCTCGTCCATCTTGTGCACCGCGTGCCCATTGCAGCAATATATAAATGTTTTTTTTGTTTGCCCTTTTTTTCTGTTTAGTTCCTTTTTTTTATTTATTTTTTCTTTCCTTTTTTCCCCCACAGTCTCCAACATGTGTGTATACTTTTCCTTTTTCAGGTGCCTTACTTTTCTCCTTCTTCTCTTGCTCCTGCAGTAACTTATTAATAGTATCCATACCAACTCCACCAGTGGGATCATAGGTTGTGGTGGTGATCTCAGTTGTTATGACTGCAGTACCAAGTAGAGTTTCAGCAGTCTTGCTTTCAACTACTTTTCTCTCTTTCTCACCTGGTGTCGGCGCGTCTACCTTTGGGTTGTGCTTGTTTCCATCCTCGTCCACCTTAGGTCCCGATGTGCCGGCTGCGGATGCTGGTGGCTCCTTTCTACTATTGTTCCCCGGCGGTGATCCTTCCTGTTGTGGTGAAGGTGGGGGTGGTTGTCCAGGTCCTGGTCCCTGACCCGGTCCTTGTCCTTCCCCGCCTGTTCCTCCTGTGGCCGATGGGGGTTGTGGTAAGGCGTCCGGTAACCCCTCATCATTCCTACCCTTGCTATCTGGTCCGCTGCCTGCCTGTGGTGTGTTCTTCTCAGGAACAACCGCCTTTGGTACTTCTGGTACCTTAGTTGGTGGTACTTCTGGTGTCGTCGTTACTACCTGCCCGTTACTGCTGTCTTCTTTCTTTTTGTTCTTGTCCGTCCCCGCTACAAAAAGGAGAAATATGGTAGAAAGATGATACAAAAAAACAACACAAGTGGTACAGAAAGACGGGACGGCACGCTGTGGTGTGGTACGGTCGGGTCAGGTAGCGCCAGGGTAGACGCCGGCTCGATGCAGTGGGTCGACGCAGTGGATCGAGGTAGGACTCGGTGGAATGCGTACGCGGTGAACTGGGTCCGGCGACAGCAAGCGTACGGTGAGGTGGATACATGGTAGCAGTACACGTTTATGTTGTCGCCGTTATCTCGTTCGCTGCACACTCTTCTACACGGGGGCCGCCGCCGCTCAACGTCAACGAAGTCGTGTCCTGTGCTGTTGTGGCTGCCGTGTGCGTGTTGTGGCATCGTTGCGTTCTTGTTGCGGCATCCGTATGGTTTACATGCGGGCCGTAAGAGGCCGTGTATGCGTATGCCGCCGTATGCGTGTCGACCATGTGCGTACTGTGCGTGTTCTTATTGCCCGTATGAGTAGAACTCTGTTGCTTTACTCTTCTTACCCTTCGCGTCCTCCTGTTCTGCATCCTCATCTTCGTCATCTCGGGCCTCGTCGCCCCTACCGCTTCCGTCGTGGCCGCACACGCACACCTCGACTCAAGCGAAGTTGGGCAGCATAGTGTGGCAGCGCAGCCGGCTGCTGTGCCTCCGTTACGCATGCGTTGTTGGTGTTCCCTCCGCGTGAGCGCGTTGTTGTGGTGGTATCCATATTCGGCTGTAACGGTGCCGGCCCTGTCCGTGCGCAGTCGTATCGGTGGCGGCCGTATAATACGTGTTGGGCCGTGTTGGTGCTTTCTCCCCTCGGTCCTTACCTGTCGGTGCCTTTGATGGTGTGGTCGCCGCCTTGGTGGCGGTCTGCCCGTTTTTGCCATCGTTCGCTGCAATAAAGGCAGATATAGGAATTAGAAGTGTCAGTATGTACTTTTTATATTATTCGAAGCATACAGAAACGAACGTTGTTCACATATCTCCATCGTGTTTCGCATTGCTCTTTCCCTGTTACTGCGAAACTGTCTGTAGTTGTGTGCTGTGTACGTATCCGTCCTGTTTCGTTCGAAGCTGTCTCATTGGACCGCAACATGCCGTGCCTTACCTAACGGTGCCTTCTGTGCTCTTGCGCGTTGTACCAGGGTGTCTTGCAGGGGTGTCGCGATTTGCGTAAATACTTCCCCCAGTCCTGCCTTCAAGTCGTGGACTATCTGAACAATCTGCGAGCCTGGCGTATCCTGTGTATTCCCAGGCGCCAGGATGTCCTCTAGTTTCCATTTGCTATCCCACTTTGTCCCGCATTCTGCATCCCCTTTCATCCTTTGTATTGCCTGTTGTAGTCTGCTATTCTGCCCTAACCATTCTTTGACTTCTGCATTTAAGTCAAGTGTTCGCATCTTCCCATGCGCAAATGTTTCCTTACCACATATGCCCTCCTGTACTAAACCTGCGGCCCATCCTCCGGTCCCACTGTGCATTCCTTGCATGCTCTTCCATGCGTAGGATGTGCCCCGCGCACTCGGACACACGTATGCGTCTAATACGGCGCTGAACATATGTACTATTATGCATCGTAAGTGCTGCCTTATGCTTTCACTGATTGGATCTTCCGGCTGTCGAGTCATTTCTTTAATAGTCCACTCATTCATGAAAAATAAGGCCCCTACCATCAGTACGCATACAATTTTATCCCCCACCGTCTGTCCAAAATAGATGTCACCGTGGGTAGGAAAGTCGGGATGGTTCCATCCTGCGTTACCACAGTTCGATGCATACTCTAGTATAAACCGCTCATCCATGTAGTTCACAAATTCCGCCATGACCTCTTTAGTCTTGTTCCACACTGCTTCCTACAATGTAAGAGAAACACATGAAATATATACATGCGCATGTGTACTTGAAATCTATGTGCCCCGCTGAGCTTCAAGCTCTCGTGTACCAATAAAGGCGTAGCACGGAGGTCCCCGTTGTGCTCTTCTATTCCTGTATGCTCCTACCTCATACTTGTGCTGATCGTAAATCCCCGCGTCGAGTACCCATTGCGCCAATGCATGCGCGAAGTCTGCCGATCCCATGTTACTACTGTTCACTGAAATATACGGTACCCGTTATAAATATCTATAGACTACTAGTATTCTTATTCTTGTTATATTACATGAATTCGCGCGTGCGTCCAATTTTAGTCCCTAATACTGCCTATGTCTGTCTTCACTGCTGCGTGCCTTGCAATCAAATATTCCATAAAAAGAGAAAAACATAAGCACATAAAGATAGAAGGCAGCATGGACCAAAACCAAAAATGTGCATAGGAATTGCAAATAGAGGGCACAGGGAAGAAACAGAAAAGAAAAAGAATGAAAAAAAAAAAAGGACAGGAAAAAATAGGAAAAAAAAAAACTACTACTACTACACTACCGTTCACACACAACGTGTCATGAATACGGCATTCTACACCGGTCTCCACTAAACGCCTGTCACACACACTGTCTCTCTGTGTGCGTACACTAAACCCCTTGTACACTAAAACCGCAGTATAACAACAACATCAATTTCTTCTGCCGTCGCTGCCGTCGCGGTCACCCCGTTCTCCGTCAACGCCTCTCCGTCAACGCCGTCTCCGTCAACGCTTCTCTCCGTCACCCGTCTCTCCGTCAACGCCTCTCCGTCACCCCGTCTCCGTCACCCCGTTCTGCGTCAACCAAGTCTCCGTCAGCGCCTCTTCCGTCAATGCCTCTACGGGTCACGCGTCTCCGGTCAACGCCTTCTGCGTCAACGCTTCTCCGTCAACGCCTTCTCCCGTCACCGCTTCTCCGTCAACGCGTGGACGTCACCCCGTCTCCGTAGCCCCTTGTCCGGGTCACACCTGCTCCGTCACGCCTCTCCCGTCAACGCTTGTGTGTCACGTTGCTCGGAGAGACAATCTGCTCCGCTTTCTTACACTCGGACAAGCGTTCGTCGAATCCTGCTTACCAGGCCACGTTTGCTCGGAGAGACAATGTCTCCCTCCGTTCTTACACTCGGCTACTTGGTCGAATCCGTTTTACACTCGGCCGCGTTGTTCGACGCGTTTGCTCGGAGAGACAATCTCTCCCTCCGTTCTTACACTCGGCTACAATGCGGTTTACGCGGCCGCGTTGGTCGACGCGTTTGCGCGGAGAGACATTCCTCCTCCTTCTTACACTCGGCTACCGCGTCGACTGCTGCTTACCAGGCCACGTTGCTCGGAGAAACAATCCCCTTCTTCTTACACTCGACGACAATGGTTTACGCGGCCACGTTTGCTCGGATAGACAATCTCCCGCCTTCTGACGCGCGGACAATCCGGTGTACCCGGCCGCGTTGGTCGACGCGTTTGCTCGGAGAGACAATGTCTCCTCCTTTTTGCACTCGGCCACCTCGTCGAATCGTGGTTACAATCGGCCGCGTTGGTCGACGCCGTGTGCTCGGAGAGACAAGCGCTCCTCCTTCTTACACTCGGCTACTTCCTCGGACAATCGGTTTACCCGGCCGCGTTTGCTCGGACAGACAATCTCTCCCTCCTTTCTTACACTCGGCCACGTCGTCGAATGCTGCTTACCAGGCCGCGTTGGTCGACGCGTTTGCTCGGAGAGACAATCTCTCCCTCCGTTCTTACACTCGGCTACAATGCGGTTTACGCGGCCGCGTTGGTCGACGCG